CATCTCAGGGTCAACGCTTGGTAGTCTGGCGCCCAGCTGCTGCCTCTCTACAATCCCATTGACTTGTCTTGCCCCTCGTTTAGGAACACTGAGGCAAAGAACTCATTGAGGAGTTCAGCCTTGTCCTCCCTGTCTGTCACCAATTGCTTTTGCCCATTCAGTAGTGGTCCTATTCCACCCTGGGCCTTCCTTTTACTCCCTATATATCTGAAAAATAATTTTTTGTTATCCTTAACTTGGGATACCATCCTCAGCTCTATGGTAGCTTTGGCCTTTCTAACTGCCTCCCTACACCTGCAAGCTGAGGAGGTATACTCCTCTTTAGTAACCTCTCCCTGTTTCCACTGCTTGAAGTGCTCATGTAGCACTTAAAATTGTATGATAAATTAAAAGCTGGAAATGCAAACATTTAAATGTGTGATTGTATGTAATTGGTATTACTGTATTCTAGCTCCTGTGTACATTGAGAAAAATGTAAGACGAGATATTTTCACTTCTGCTCTTTCGGAAGAAAAGTGGCTAACATGGGCAGAGTTAGAAATGGGTCTACAGCAGATTGTTAAAGTAGAAGTGATGTGTGGGATTTGAACTCATGTAATTAGTTCTGGAAATCTGCTACATTTTGGGTTTTTTTTTATATATTTCTAGGAACCTCATGGGGACTTGGTGGAACTTGTGTCAATGTTGGCTGCATTCCCAAAAAGCTTATGCATCAAGCAGCACTTCTTGGGAGTGCTCTTAAGGATGCCCGGCACTATGGCTGGAATATATCCCAACCCATTCACCATGACTGGTAAAAAATACTCTACCTGTCCATTTTGTGTTCTGTCACTGCGGAACAAAAGTACCAGTGTTGTCCCCTTGATCTTCACTTTGCAATGAACTGAAGAACAAGAGAGCTGAATTTCATGCAGGCAGATCTTAGGCTCTTCTTTAGAAAAGTCAGACCTCCTAGTCTAACTGGGGATATACTGTATGTGGCTTTGATTTGGCACTTTATTTTATAACATAAGGGATGTTGGAACACTCTTAGCTTCCATCAGTAACCTGTGTATAAGTCCTGGAGTGGTGATTTCAGAATCGATAATATGATGATTTAATGCTTGATGTGTTGTTTCTTAATAGGTCTACAATGGCTCAAGCTGTTCAAAATTATGTCAAATCTTTGAACTGGGGACACAGAGTGCAACTACAGGACAAGTAAATAAACCTCTAACTTTAGCCTTCTTTCATGTAATCAGGCAGCTTTTCTACCTTTTTTTTTGTAGTTCTGTTAATTTATCTTTGGGGTCACCAGTAGAAGTTAATATCTTTGTAAAAACTGAAACTCCTCTTCCTAAGATAGTTGAGACCAAAGTTAACATTAAATAAATGAAAATGTGTTCTGCTTTTCCCTTTCTTTGCAAAGGTGGTTCAGAGTGGCAACTAGACAAAAGCTGTACTGCAGAGCAGTTGCGTCTCAGAATAAATTTTGAAGTGCCACAGTGCTTAAATTAGGACAATATTGGGAAATCCTTCTGCTGAGGTGATAACTCAGTGTAGCATTGATAATATTTGGAAGGCACATTGCAGTAACTTTGTTATTTAAGGGGTTGTGGGAGTGAGTAACCAGAGAATCCTTTGTCTGCTTTCGTATTAGTATTAGATAGATTATATCTAGGTTCCTTTAAGAGAATTTCAGATTTGTCCACCCATTAGCGAGCCTGTAAATAATACAGCATGATGTACTAGAAAAGCTGAGTGCCTGGTTAATGTGATTTTCAGTGCAGAAGAAGCAGACAGCAGCTTTTCAGTCCTCAAGCTTTTCTCATGATTAGCTGGATCCTGGCAATATTTCCCATATAGTGAAGGTGAAGTTAATAGATAATTTAGGAGATGCCTAACCATCAACATAGGAATCACAAAATTAATTTTCTGTGCAAGTCCTCAAGCATGCCTTATTGTGAAATCATTATATTGTACCTGTCATCTGAGGAGGTCGAAGTTTAACAAGCATTAAACCTTGCAGCACTATTTGAGTTCAGTATTATGCTTGCTCTGTAAATGAGTGAACTGTGATGCAAAAATTAAGCAAATTGCCCAAAGTCACATAATACGTCGGTGATGAAGCCAAAAATAGACCTTTTGCTTGCTCATTTTGCTCCAGTTACTGGCTTTTTTTTATGCTGGTTGTTGTGTTCCTAAAGTAAAAATTTGCTGATTGAATGTAATCTCCCTTTTACATTTGTTCGCTGTGTAATTTTTTTTAACAGAAAAGTGAAGTATTTCAACCTCAAAGGCAGTTTTGCAGATGCGCACACAATCCATGGTTTAACCAAAGCAGGAAAAGGGGTGAGTTGCTTGGCTGGTTACTATAGCACTTGGTTTGAGGCAAGGAACTCTAGGCCCACATCTGTCATGAGTTACAAATCCACTGACAGATAGATTTTATTTAACAAATGTTGCTCCATCAGCCAGAAACCTTCTTGGGCAGGAAGATTAATAGCACTTCTCAGTTTTAAAGCACAATCCATTCAGTGTTCTCAGAGGACTCAAGCATTTACTATATGGACTCTCAGGCATCATAACACTAGTTTCCAACCTCTGAGTTATCCTTACTTTGTAGATGAGAACCAAACTACAAAACGTCACCAAAGTGTTTAAGCCAAAGTGCGCACTGTTAGCCTCAAGGTCAGTGGCAGATATAGAAAGAGGACCCAGACCTTCTCAACCCATTGTGCTCTAGCTATTAGATGGACTCTTGTTTGGTTCCTTCCATTTGCAATACTGGAAAAAACATAGCTATCTGTCTTTCTTTTTGTAATACAAATGTGTGCACAAGAAACAAGCATTCTAAATATTTTGCAGTTTGCCTTTAAGTTCCTGAGAGAGAGAGGCTGATGGCCACTTCTGCCCCATTAGAAGACCATCTCAAATTAAATAAGTGCACTGCGATTATCCAAAATGACTAGTGCTTTTTTTGTGTCTAGCTCTAGACACTTTCAGGGAGCCTTTTCTGAAAACCAGGCCTCTTTTGAAATGTCTTGATTTTTGGCACCCAAACATTGCTAGTCAGCTTTTGAAAGTCTTGTTTGTCTGTACTTATATTCCTAGACTTAAATTAAGTTAATCATATTGATTCCGTACAGTGCCATTGGTACACAGATACTGCATCCAAATTGAACCTTCAGGGTACTGGCAAGGTAAAGGCAAGGTACTGAGGCAAGTGTAGGGGAATTATCTTTGTGCATTTGGGTTAACAAATGTTGCAGATGTCTAAATATTGCTGGTTAGAGCATGAGCCATATTATACAGAGCCGATGTTAATTCTAGCTTTCTCTGTAATCACTCATTCATACATAATTAAAAACTATGATAAACCAGGAGAATAAACTAGTATATTCATTAAGAGAACTTTGTTGTTGATTGTTTGACTTAGACTTTATATCTTTGTTTGTAGATGACTCTTACTGCAGAAAACATTGTTATTGCCACTGGATTAAGGCCAAAATATCCTACAGATGTAAGTTATATCTGTCTTGTGACATCTACAAAAGCTTTACTGTCTGTGTCATAGTGTACACCGATTGGTGGATTTCATGAAGCAAGGCATGGTAAACTTCTGTGGCTAGGAGGGTGAAAAGTTGTCTTTTAATGTAACGTGTAAGTACTCTAGGAAAACAAAAACCCACTCAAGTAGAAAATAAAGGAATTTAGTTTCAGACTGAGTAGCATAAATGCCACTCAGACACTAAACTTGAAAAGCTTTGCCCAAGATCTCATCGCACCTCATGTTGTGGGGATAACTCAAGATTAGGGTCTTGTCCGTTCTAAACGGGATGATACCTTGATGCTTTATCTTCCTGGAATGTTTGTGAATTATTCAAAATTTGGTAGGTTAGTATTTGATTTTTGTCAGCCATTGGACAAATTGTCAAATATAGTAAAAGGTTTTTTTTAAAAAAATGTCCACTGCAGCCTTGTGGTGAAGCTTTAAAGTGTCCTACAAAATAAAAGGAATGCCAGTTGAAAATCAGAACTATGCTAGTGGAAAAATAGTCCCTTTCATTTAAGAACAGGTTTTCTTTAACATATAAATTCATTTTCAGGCTGTTGTACAATTTTCATGATATAGTACATCTATATTTTTTTCATAAGGTTGCAGGTGCACTGCAGTATGGGATTACAAGTGATGATATATTCTGGTTGAAAAAATCTCCTGGAAAAACGTAAGCTGCCATACTAACCCGCTATCAGAGTCCTGCTGTTTGCTGCATTCCCTTAAGAAATTACTTCTGTTACACTCTAGTTTTCTCTCTTGTGTTTCTCCTTTTTTATATATGTTTTGCTATACACATGATCATTGCTATACCAATTTTGTAATGCAATCTTGTTTTATTTCTCTGCCTACTGCAGGTATATCTTGGGGGTGGGCAAAGGAGTGGGGGAGGGTTTCTATGCCTAAATTGAATGTTCAACATAAAGCAATTACAAATAGAAGCCACAAGAGGGCAGCAAGTGCTTAGAGTTTAATCACTGTACCCTGCTGTGAGTCTTGTATGTGTATCTGTAATAAGATTTGAATATGGGGAAACTCTAGTCCAGGTTTAACTGGTTGGCGGTTTTTTATGTTATCAAATAGTGGTGCCATTTAACAAGTCAAGAAATGGAGAATGGCTCAAGTTGCTATGGGGACCATTCTCTTCATCTCTTCTTTCTGGTTGTTTCAAGCAAGAAATAATAATTTGGTGAAATAACTAAAGTTTTATAATATAGCAATTTGTTGCTCATGGTGGACATCTCATAGCAATGTTTGAGTGAAGTAAGTAGTGCAAAAGGATTCTGCTCTGTTAAAATGTAAGCCCTTTGGGGGAGGAACTGTATTTGGTGTTCAGTTTGTATAACACCAAACACTGTGGCATCCTGTGGAGTAGCCGCAGCTCTAAGGAAGTGTCACAATACAATGAACAGAAATATAAAGTGCGATTGGTCACCAGTACTCCAGCCACTTACCAGTGATTTTACTTCAAATTTCTCCCAGGACAGGCAAACCAGTTAGTGCTAGAAAAAGGTACTTGTAGCCAATCTAAAATTGGTATTTTGAAATAAAATAGAGCTGCCAATCGAAGTTGTGGCTTCTTTGAACGTAGAAAATGTGTGCTCATTTAAACATCAAATAGATAAACAGGTCTCCTTTGTACATTTTGAAAGGAAACTAAATCTGTAGTTGTTTGCAATATATCAGTCACCTCTTGAATTTTGAGAGCATGATTTATGTGAGGAAATTGGTTTTTTGTTGTGTTTTTTTTTTTTAAAAAGCTAAAAGATGTTTCTATGAAAATGTGGCTTTTGTCCAGTCGCTGTTAATGCAAGTCGTAACAGTGTAATGTGGGAGTCTAGTGTTTATATGTTGCATTCCTAAGCTTTAGTCAAAATAAGCCTTGAGGGGCTACAGTAGCATTTCTGTACTTTATCAGCCTGTGTTGCAGCTGATGAAGGAGGGAGCTGTTCGCATTCGGGAGGGTTTGTTTCTGTCGGGTTTGTTTCCCTTGTAAATATTGCCAAGGTTCAGTTTAACACCTTTTGTTGTTGTACTGATCTGGGCTTTGCTTAGTCTGATATTTTTGCTAAAGTTGCCTATCTCATGTATAAACTGCACACCTAGAGAAGTACAGAACTGATGGTCAGCAATTGTTTCAATAAGGGAGGCTTAAAACAAAAGCAAAAACCCTATTACTAACCCAGGTGTCATTAAAAGTCCCTTGTTATTTAAACACACTAAAATCCTTCACTTCCAGAGTGAGAACTGGCAATACTGCCTTACAGTATATTTCAGAACGGAGGTGTTTCCTTCCGAGTGAGATTTGATAGGTGTCAAAGGTGTGTCCTGGTTTCTAATCTTGTTTTGTTGATCCTGAAAGTGCCTAGAAACCTTTTGGCGTGGAAGAAGGGTAGTAAGTCAGATTAACAGCTCATGTTATATCTGGGCGTTGACTCAAGGTTTACTCTTCAACTAATGTAGGAGGGGAGGAAGCATTTACCTACATTTGTATAAATCCTTATTCTGCTCCCTGTGAATACCTTGCAGATGTTTCTTTACAGACATTGTGGTGTTCAGCATTTGCCAATAACCGAAGGCAATGTTGGCTTGCTGTCAGAGGAGAGAAGCATTTTCTATTCAGAGATCAGTGTCCAAGTGTGGGGAAAATTTACCTTGGGGATGGTATGCTTTAATTAGTGGGAGGTGATACCAGGTATATACGCTCTTGTGGGTTTAGCATCAACTCAACACCACTACAAAAAATGTCTGCCAGGACCCTGAATGTGTGAAAAGTGTGCCCATGTTGCAAAAAAATAAAAATAAATCCTGCAGTGTCACATGCGAGTCACAGCAAGTGATTTTTCCATTTCATTCAGCTCTGGTGAGGTCCCAGCTGGAGTACTGAGTGTAGTTTGGAGTGCCTTACTTCTACAAATACATAGAAAAGTTTGAAAGAGTCCAGAGAAGGGCAACAAACATGTTTTCTAGACTTCAGATCATGATGTTAACTATTTAGAAGTTTCCATTATTAGAAGTTTATATGTGAAAATTAGACAAATACTTTATTTGGACATTTGTCTATTCTGTCTTGAGCAAGAAGTTGACTAGATGACCTCCTGAAGTCCCTTCCAACCCTATCCTATGAATTTTCACCATTAGTTAATTAAAGAAACAATAGTGTTGTTTAAATAGTTATTTCTAAATTTGTACAAGTGTCATATTGATTGAATTGCCTGTGTGTGTGTGTGCGCGTGTGCGCATAACAGAGGATCAAATTTTAATCCTGAGCTCTAAAAAAGAATATAGTTAAATAGCCAATGGTCTGAATGAAGACATGATTATCCAAGTTCTTAGGTATTCTTGCTTTATCTTATTATATAGACAGTTTTCACTGATAGGAATACTGTTGCCTAAATAGGATGGTAAAAGCATAATTCTATATAACTCAAAATGACAGCAACGAAAAAGCCAAATGATTCTATAAAATTTGTGGGACTGTGATCCTGTTGGCATAAGATTAAGAATTTATGAGATTTAATTTCTCATTGTTATATTTTGTCGGTTTTCTAAATTGATTAACTGTCCTTAAAAATTAGAATCCTGTCTTCAATAATCAAACTACCTATAGATCATTTTAGTTAAATTTTTAAGCTCAGCAATACTAATATTTTATCTAAGGGTTTATATCCTGTCTACAGCCTGACTGCAAGTGTTAAGGACATTTTAAACGTTTCCCCGCCCCCTTCCCCCCCCACTTCATTTATTTCTGCTTGTTCTACAGTTTTAGCCTTTGTTCTTGAATAATGGCCTGAATTTTAAATTCCAGATTGTGTAACTAATGCAGGTTTTCAAAGGAGATCAGAATGTCAATCATTTTCTTATAGACAGTTTAAACATCTTGTTGCTAGGATTATTCATACTTGATAATGGGGTGTGGAAATGCCCAATGCTGTGCCACATGGGTGACCAAAGAAAGTGTAATGCTCTTCGAGTCCCTGCCCTAAGTATCTACCATTTTTTTAAGTTAGCCAAGTCTTGGTCTGATCCCCTGAGCCCACCTATTATAAAAGCTAAGTAATACTTTATGTTAACTGGACAGTTGCAAGCTCTAACTGTCTTCACAAGATTTATCAGTGTAGCTTCAGATAATAACTCCAGGCACATTCCTGTCACCCAGCTCTCATGATGGAGCTGAATGGTTGTTTTCCACGTGGCGCCCCCCGTATTATTCTGAGAGAAGCCACTTTTTGAAATGGAATTACATTATTAGTACCTGTAGGGATTAACATTGTCATTAGAATTATCCATTCTAGCATCACCTTACCTCTTCTGAAGAACTCAAGAGGTATTTTTGCTGGGCCACCCACACATCTTGGTTTTCTCTGTCCCGGACTTGTCTTTTATTGTATAATATTTGCCTGATATTTGGCAGGTGGCTAATAGCAGTAGTATTAGTAGTATTTGAGAAGATTTAAATTGCTTGATCTCTCTTAAATAGTTTAGGTGTGCTTGAATTCATATAATTTTGCTACTGGTCTGGTATCAGAGAGGTTTAATTCAGAGCTGTTTGTTCTCCCCAAATTGTTTTAAAACAGCACTTTCATAATTTAAGGATGATGAAATACTGCAAAGGGCATAGTATGCTTGTCAAACAGGTTCTTTTCAGTCTGTGTTCACCATGCAGCCTAAAATACTTGGCTGGGCTTTCTTCCCCCTTAAAATAATGGAATCTAGCTGCCTGCTATTGTAAAATCTCAGTTTTAGGTGTCAGATGCCACCCACTGAATGTTCACAGGGGAGAGGGGAAATGGACACAACCTCAATCCTTTTAAATCCCAGACGCGATTAGGGTTCCTGTGAGTGAGGTCCTGTATAAGCACTGCAAAAAACAGTCTCTGCCTAGAAAAGCCTCAAGGCCTCTACTTTTCTTGCGGTCTCACTTTGTGACTGTTTATCAGTAGTGCGGTAGCACCCAGCAGCCCTAAGAAGGATCAGGAATCCATGGTATTAGGTGCTGTACAAATACGTTGTGACAGTCTCTATGTCAGAAGCTCACAACCTGGAAGCATGTCTTGGAACCTAATCAAGGATACATTTACCTGATATAGTTGGATTTAAATTTGCAAACTTAGCCATGATTTTAGTCATTCCTTTTAACCCTGAATTACTCTTGGCCTTAGTCTATACGGTGGGACTGCTGCATGTTTAATTAACTGGTGTAGACACAGCTGTATTGGCAGAGGTTTTGCTGACCCCAGAATTATACCAACTCCCCCAAGAGACAGAAGCTTTGCCTACGTAAATCTTCTTCAGCCATCCATGCTGCATCCGTACTGGGAGTTTTGCCAGCAAGGCAACATCAGCTATGGAGAGTGATCTTTCCACACCCCTAACACGAAGTAGGTCCACAGGCAGAACTTTGTAATGTAGACAAGCCCTTACGTTTGGGGCAGGAAGGTGTGTGTGTAGCTGGAGATATGGATTCTGTCTTTCAGACTATTTGGCTGTCTCTTTTATACATGCATTTTTATTAATAAAATAAGTTCAAATGAAACCTGAAACCAAGTAGGGTATCATCTTTATATCAGAAATTGCAAGCTGCATTCTTTCTCTCCCTATCTAAAAATATCAGATGCACTGCACAACCCTGTAATCATGTAATCACATGACACTCCAAAAAATCATTTGTCAGTTGCATGAAAAAATGCGCAAATTCAATCCATTGCTTTATTCTTTCCTTTGCTTAACAGGTTGGTGGTTGGAGCCAGCTGTATCCTTTGTAAAAGCTGTAGTAATTTATGGTTACAAGTGACAGTTGTCTTTTTCTTTGAAGGCTCAGTTTTCTAAATTCTACTGTTCATGCACTGTTTACTTGCATTAGTGGTTTTGAGCTGTAGTCTCCCAAGCACTCAAGAGGCACATTGAGCAGTATCATCACAACAATACAGATCAGGTCATGATATGTTTTAAGGGTCTTAAGAACATCATTGTGAGGAAATAAATGTTCCCTGTAATACAAACATTATGGCTGTGCAGAGGGAGAGCTGAAGCGAGCTAAAAATGTTGCCAGTGATACCTTACTGATAAGAATAATCTAACGCTAGGTTTGAAAATATCTTTATTTTCGTTGTGTTTAGTAGAAATGATGTAACCTATGGTCCTTTAATTGGTACTTCACCAGATGTTTCCCTTGAGTGTGCTGGTTTTCTCACAGGCATTGGGCTGGATACCACGGTCATGGTAAGAAGTATCCCACTCCGAGGATTTGATCAGGTAAGTGTTTTTCAGATTATTTCAAATTGAAATAAGGCACAAAATTTCAACAGTGGATCTTTAACCATTGGGACACTACCCTGGAAGCTGTGGATTCCCATCTCTTGGTGTCTTCAGATCATAGCTGGGTGCTTTTCTGGTGGATATGCTTTAGACTAACATAAATTATTAGGCTCAGTACATAGGTAATCAGATGAAAGAGAGTTGCCTGGAATATATAGGAAATCAAACTATATTAACTGATGGTCCCTTCTAACCTTAAACTATATGAATCATCAGTGATAGCTGTTTCCTTGCCAAATTTTCATTTTCCTGTCCTATGTTTGATTCCAAAGCTGATTTAAAACTAAAAGTTTCAGCATTTTTTTTTAAATAAAAAGTTAAGGTATTTTTTTTTTTTACTTCTGTAATGGATGAATTATATCTGTTTAAACTTTCCAAGAAGTTCCTTCTTGGACAGATAACAAGGCTGGAAAATTTCACCCTGAAGGGTGAAGCTATTGGAAAGTTAATCATTTGAAAACAAGGGGCTTGGAATGGAAATCAGTACACCACACTATTTATAGCAGTCATTCCCATTATAATGATACTGTAGATGTGCATAATATTGGCATGTGAAAGATGATTTAGGTTTGTAACAAGCATGGACAGATGTTTTTTAAATAATGTTTTGCAGACTACTTTGCAGAGCAGCTGGAGTAAATCATTTCAAAATATGGCTCTATCTCAATAACTTTCATATCTTGAGGCACAAGGTACTAGCTAGTAAAGAGAAGGATGCATCTTTGGAGCTTTCTTATCTTTATATGAAAAGCTCTACACTGAAGGTCTGTGAGATCTTAGTCACCAGGGTATTCATGGAGATGGTCCTTTCCTCATGGAAGTATGCCTTATGTGGATGGAAATAATAAGTGGGATCAAGTTCAGGGAGAAGTGGAGGCAAAGTCGGCATTGTCACATAGCTACACTGAACTTGGTCAGTGGAGCATGGACTTTTGCTTTATTGGAATTATCCTGAATTGGAAATAAAATGCTAGGTATAAGCCCAGAACTAGCACTTAGTTCTGTGTGGGTGATTCTGTGAAAATATCTTCTCTAAGTAATAAATACATCCTTTGATAAAAACTGCAACTTGCCTTATTACAATGAAGAGCCATGACATCTTTGAATAAGCCTGTCAGTGGGATAGTTTACTACTTGACAGCAGTGTGGCATTAGTTCAGATACATTTATCAAAAATGTCTATTGAACAGGCAGCATTTCCTTTTATAGTAAACCTCTTAATGATTCACCTTTATTGCAGACATGTTACAGGTTGAGTGGCACTGGAAAGGTGTGCTCTAGTTGGGTGAGAACAAGGTTTCCAAGTCTTAACTGATTACCAGGAAAAAATGAAATTCTGATGATATTGATTGTATTGGGTGATCTGGATGTCAAATTAATAAGTAGCCAGTTATTACAAACAAAACAGGCAAACGCTCCCTTTTACTTTATGCTTTCAAAAGTCACCTTACTCTATGCATGATTCCTGAGATCAGTATCATTCCCTTGTAGATAATGAAACTGAGACACAGAGAGGTTAAGTGACTCTCCTAAGGCCATGGAGTGGGTCACTAGACATTTTGGGTTTGATGGAAACTTTGATTCATGTTGGGTGCTAGAGACCTGTTCATGTCTTTGCAGAAAATTCTGGATACATTTTAAGTGTCAGTTTGATTATTTACAGTAGCTGGTTGTAAATGGCAACGCACCAGTACATGCATGCCCTTCATGCTGTGGATCAGAAAGTTAGAACCAATATAATTCAGCCTATTTGTGTTCTCAACTACAAATTGTATCCAGGTTAAGATAAAGAGTCCATTTATTAAATTACATTGGAGTTTGGGAACATGTGTAAGACTAAGACTGATATTGGTATTTAAATACTCATCAGTAATGATTGTGACGTTTCCCCACCTAGCTGGTAACCTCTGGAGCCACAGGTCATGGAAGATCAAACAATTATGTTATTTTAAAGGGCAGGCTATATTTAGTGGATTCTACCAAATCTGGTGTAGCTGTTTTGTCATTGTACGCCTATTTCATGGTAAGTGATACTTAATTATCATTTATCATCATGGTAAATGATACTTAATTATCATTTAATAATTGATAATTAGCTTAATAATTGATCTGTTAGCTTTGGTTTAGCTTCTGTTACGGCTGGATAGGAGCACATAGATGAACCCGTTAGCATGGGTCATCTATTTTGCCTGCAAATGTCCTCCCCTCCCCTTTAAAATAGTATGATTTTTCTTTTATCCAAGAATTCTTAGTATCTTAGTACTTTGGTTTTTCTTTGCAATTTGATTGCTAATATACAAGTGATATATTCCCTTGCAACAGCAGACAAAAAGAGGAAAAGATCCCAAGAGCACATGTGTTTAGATCATTTGATCAGATTTTTCTTTACAAAACCACACTGGTTTGTGAAATAAAATCCATTTGAAGCTCTGGATCTCTCTATTGGGTTTTTATTAACATAACAGAATTATGGATTTTTGAAGATGAAAACATGCCTTGTTCTTAAATATAAAATCATTTAATTTTTTTTTTCATTTCATAGCAAATGTCCTCCTTAGTAGCAGATTACATGGAATCCCATGGTACAAGATTCTTAAAGAAATGCATCCCAACTAAAGTTGAAGAATTGGACAGTGGCAAACTTCAAGTGTCCTGGAAAAATGCTGATATGGGCAAAGAAGAAACGGATTCTTTTGACACAGTGATATGGGCAGTAGGTAAATTAGATCATTTTATTTTCTGTTTGTAAAATGCAGTGTTACTGTCCTTCATGTTGTGTGAAGATGAACAACCTGCACCTTTCATGATTAAGTGCCTGACTATTAATTCTCACTCTTATGCTTTACTTGATCAGATACAACCTAAAATTTCACTCTTCTCTTGTTCTTCAAGAGAAGTGCCATTTGCTTTAGGTACCTGTGAACTCTTTCTCATTTTCTGTCCAATACATTACCTCTGCTGCAGTGCTCATCATCTAAGGAGGTGATAGAGAAAATGTTCCTTTCTAAGAACCCAAATGCATTGTGTGGAATCTGGTAGCTAAAGGTGCTTGTGGATCTTAGCCTTCTATGAAAGAAGATTTAACTACCACAGTCTTACTTCCATTTCAGTATAGGGTGAGAGTGTGCACACAGGCAGTTACTGCAGGGTAGCTACTACTCCCTTTTACCCTGCAGTAAATTTTGCTTGTATCCATGCAAATTCTCCCAGTGGAGAGTTCAACTAGCTGTCCTCCACATTCATCACTTAGCTTGTTTGAGGGTGTAAGATGCCTGACACTGCTTTCTGCACAGAAGTGCTTTGTGGTCTCTCAGCCCCGAGACTACCTACTGGAAATCTAATCAAGAATTAAATGAAGCATCTTTTCCACCTTTATTAGGATAAATATTACTTTTTTCTGGGCCTAAACTATTAAGTAACATAGGTACTACAAGGTTTCCAGCGCACAGAATGGGAAAAAATTCTTTCTATGTTACGTCCGTCATCTGTACAACCACCCATGTCGTCAGTTTGTCTTCACTTGCTGCATTGCTTTATTTAGATTTTTGGCTCATCAGAACAGAGATGTATGATCTCTTGTTTTAGTAAGGGCTTTGCCAATATATGGCTGTATATAAATAAAAAATGGCTAAAGCCAGGAATGAAAAGCTGACTAACATAGGACATTTTGCAGACCAGAGTACTGTGTTTAATTCCTTACCCTCTTTTTTCTTAGATATTGTGTCATAAAGACTAGTGTTCTATGGGAGTAAACATGAGGAATAGAGATTAAATGACTTGCTGAAGGTCACCAAGTACATCAGTGGCAAGAATGGAAATAGGAATTGGGTCTCCTGATTTACTGTACTTTGTGCTGCTGAGGAGACCAAAGCTGACATCCATGTGGTTCTTTCTCCTGGGTTAAATCAACATTTTATATCCTTTTACATCCCTGGAACAGAAGGCAAAAAAAAAGTTTATTCCATATATATTATGGTCAGTTTTTTGTTCAGTTTACAGTTTTACACTCCTTCTAGGAGTCTGATGGGTTCCTTTAACATTCCTAGAACACTGCACACAAAAATAAGTAATTTCTGTTGCGTGATACTCATCAAAGGTGCCGGTGTTTGCCAAGACCAAAAAGGTTGTGGCATTTGACAGTTGTGACAAGCCTAAAACCTTCAGGAAAATATTCAAAAAATGAGATCATTCCATTTTTCAAAACCATGTGTTTCCCAAATACCTTATCTGATTTCCTCAAACTTTCCAGTAAAGTCCTCCCTTGAGTATGGTCACACCTGTGAAATTCCAGGTGGATTTGCTTATTTTTATCACTGTTAAAAATTCAGATGATATAATAAATTGTGCTTTAACTTTAACTATAATCTTAGAGCTAACTATTCTATTACTGCAAGTCATTTGCAGTGTAAATGTAATTCACATCTTGGGTTCAAAGCAAGACTAAGTGTTAAACAGTAGTCACATGTGAGAGATTTAGAATAACTATGCTGTTATATTCTGGAAACTGAAAACTAGTCATTTTTCCCCCCCTTAGTGTTTATGTTTGCAATCTACCTTTTAAGGATTAAACACATTAACAGTTAAAGCTGGTTAATTGATGTGTAGTTGGTATGATTCATTGTTTTTCTATGTCTCAACACACCCACGCCAGGTGTCTCAGATAATAGACTGGGAAACTTAGTGGTGTTGAGGATTTCCTGTCTGCAGATGTGCCAATTACAATGCTGATTGAAAAAAGTCAGCTTGTAGAGTTAGCTAGAACTCAGTTGCTAGAGTTAACTAGTTGTATCCTGAATTTAGAGTAAACATTTGGTTATTTAATTTTTGCAGACACCTCGTAGCAAAACACTAGGACTTTATGAATATTAAAACATAGAATATATAAAATGTGATGGGTGGAACAGAGTCCTATTTTGCTACATAAATTCTAGACATCTGTTTCTTACGGGGAATGTTAACACCTTATTCATGCAGTTTATCTGCTTTGCTAAAATTCTTATATAATAAAGGGCTTAGTCCGTCTGTCTGTCTGTAATGTTCTTGGAGCGCTCTGATTGGTTAGTGAAACAACCAATCAGAGTGTGGAGTGCCACTATGATGGAGGGCGTGGCGCTGGCCTTGCCCCCACCCCCCCCACCCCGCACTCCATCCCTGCTGTCGTGGTGGTGCTCTGCTGCCTCCGAGGAGCAGGGCCAGGGGGGGTGGGGGTGAGGCCAGTGGCACTGGAGGCAGCAATATGGGGTGCTGATGGAGGGGGGTGGAGGGGACGGCAGGGCAAGCTC